GGGGTAGGGGTCAGGGAGGGGGTTACATTCTGAGCTTTACCCAGTAATCTCTCGCTCTGTCTACTGCTTAACTTTGCTTCATTTTCTTGAACTCACTGTAAGTCCCCAAGCTTGCCTTTGAGGACTCACCCTTCAGCACTGTTAACACAAAGGTCTTAAGAAAAAGGTGGAGCCCGGCCGGGTGTGGCTCAGCGGTTGAGCATTGACCTGGGATCCAGGCGATCGGGGTTCGATTCCCGGTCAGGGCACATGCCCGGGTTGCGGGCTCGATCAGTGACTCCCTCATCATTGTTTCCATCTTTCTCTCTACCTCTTCTTTCCTCTCTCTGAAATCAATAAAGATATATTTTTTAAAAAAAATTAAGAAAAAAGAAAAAGGTGGAAAAGACCCATAATTTCCAAACAGTGTCTGATTGAGCCGTTTTATTAACAAGTACAATGTAGCTTCCTTCTTAAAGATGAGACTCCCTGAGGTCAGGTTCTCCCCACAAAGTAAAATTTCTCTGGATTTGTGCTTTTACTGTAACAGCGTCGGGACAATTTCACACGCACTGAAAGGACCCGTCAGAGGTTCAGAGTGAGCTCTAGGTGATCGTGAGCAGCTGTGGAGGAGGGGACCGCGAGTGTGTCACTAGACCACTGTGCGGCAGGGAAGGGAAGCGAGCCTGTATGACGCCTGTGCTCTGTGTCCCCCAGATGAACACCTCGCTGCTGGGAAGCATCGGCATGCTGAACTCGGCCCCGCAGCTGCGCTGCATCAAAACCTACCAGGTGCCCCCGGTGCAGCCGGCCTCCCCGGGCCCCCACAGCGCCCTCCGGCTGGCCCGGCTCATCTGGACGTCCAACCGCAACATCATCCTGATGGCCCACGACGGCAAGGAGCACCGCTTCATGGTCTGAGGGGCACGTGCCCTGAACTGCATCTCGTGCTTTCAGTTCTCTAAGCCGAGATTCCTCTGTCCTTAGGCTGGGGCCCTCCTCAGTGCTGCCCACCAGGGGCAGCCAGGGCACGGCCAGGTCTGTAACTTCTGCATGGTCTGGGGCACTCGCCTGCTCGGGCCACCCACTGACCCAGAGGCATGCACACACCGCTTTGCTGGATGTCTCCCTGCCCGAGGGGGGAGGCGGCGGTCCCCGGGCGCCCCTGTGCTGGGTGCCCCGCAGCCCGAGAGTCCGCGGACACTGTGATGCCGCCCCGCCAGGCCAGCATCCCCTCGAGCGCACCCCTTCCCAAGGGCCGCTGGAGCCCATCATTCCGACACTGGGCTTTGAGGTACTGCGGCAGTCCTAGTCTTCAAAATTATTTTCCTTTGATTTCTTAAAACATACTATTGTTTACCAAAAAAATTCTGAGTTTACATAGGGTTTTTTCCTTCAGCTGATTGTTAGGAAATTGCTCAATCCGATTTCCTAGGGTTTAGCCACTATCTTCCTTATTAATACCTAACCTATTTGAGATTAATGGGAAAATATACCAAAAAAAATTTTGCTTTCCTTTTGGAGAATACAGTTTTCCAGACACGTAGTCTCCTGAACTGCTCATATCCTGCTTAAGCAATGGTGTGTTTAGTAGTTTAAAATAAAATCTTCTCAGCTGATTAATTAATATAATTACCCAGACGCTGTAACTAATCTCTTAAACAGACTTTTATAATAAAGAACCAGGTTTGGAAGCATAACATATACCTAAAAAGAGGACACCTGTGTCTGTGGCTACAGATCCGTTAAAACTAGAGCTCCCCTTCCAGAAACTTCACAGACCTGCAGTTCCCACGCGTGGGACTTAGGTCAGTTACCACGTAATAGTTATTATAATTCAGCCTTTAAACTACTGCTGATCAACTAGAGGAAACTAAGTCAGCATTTCTTTTAAACAAGTGTCCTAGAAAGTTAGTAACAGTGGCACAGGCATCTGGGAGTCCGTATGAACACGGAGGCTCGGTCTGCACAAACATTGCAGCAAGAGCTCCTCGCGCTGAAGTCGGCTGAACTAGGTCAGATGCTGCTGGTTCTTGCTCATAGTGATGGGGAAAAACCCATAAAATAATATTTTGTATGACTTGCTCTTGACAAACCTTGATCTGTATATAGTTGGGGATTTGGTTGGTTGGTTGGTTACTTGGGTAAAATGGTTTATTAATGAAACATAGAAAATGATTTATGAAATTCAGAGAAAATGTGTGAAGTTTACAGAGGAGCCAACTAATAATGGGAGCATTTAACTTCCAAGGCGTAGGTGTCAGGGTTCACGTAATTATACAGGAGTAAGGTCACAGTCCGGGCACAAATACATCTGCCATTTTATTGAAACCGAGTTTTAAAGACCGTGTTAGGAAACTAAGACCACTAGCGTATCTCCTTCCTGCAGATGTGAGGTGTGTGACTGCCGCTGATTGAAACCTGCACTACTCCTTGGTTGTAGACTTTGGGGGTTCTTTCAAAAGTGAATTTATGAAACATGCATGTACATTGTATTTATAAAGATTATATATGTAGTTTCCAGGAAGAAACAAAGAACTATACAGTGTAGACTTTATTGGTTTGCCAAACATGCTGTTGTGTTCGATGGAGATAGAGAGACCTGAGTTAAACAGAAGGTGTACTTGGTTTTCCCGGAGGCTCCCGAGTCTTCTCAGACCCAGCACCTGTTTCCTGTAGGAACTTCAGTGGGGATTAATTTATTCTGGACTCCACAGCTGTTTGGGGATGATGGAGTGGACATATACTTTAGAGATTTTTTTAAAACAAAATGTTCAGTGCATCTGGAGAAAGGGGTGAGGCTGCTAGGCAGGCCCCACACGTGCACACATGGGTGGCACACACCATGTGAGGCCCACAGGAGCCAGACACCTGGGCAGTGGGCTTGGCCAGCCTGTCACACACTCTGCACAGACAGACAAGTTATTGGCCAGTAGACTGTTCCGATTATAGAACTCTGGGGTGGGTGATGTCTGACGGTTAGACAGATATCTCTAACTGCTGAACTAATATTTGCATTCTTGTTAACACAAATCCTTCCTTGGCTACTTTGACAACCACAGCCCAACCTTCATACAGCTTAGATTTCTCAGCACTGAGGTAAACTTCGAATTGTCATTCCAGTGTATGCTTTTAGTGTCTTATAATTTTATTGGCACTGCATTTGGACCTGTCCTTGTAAATGTAGAGGCATATGTGGCTTCGTTGATAATTTATAAGCAAAGATGACGTGACGCAACACCTGTATGAAAAAGTAATTATTGGACCCACTGTGTCCAGCCAGCAAACTAAAGTGTCTGCCTCGCAAGACGTTTCTTGATGACTCCACTTAATAGATTCTATATGTGCTAGATGTTCCTCTGTACATACGTGTGTTAAATAAAACTGAATTGTACTGAAGATTGTTTTTCCCATTAAAACCATTATTCACTCAAACATTCTCAATTGAAATCCATATACTTTCTCCCCCTGCCACTCCCTTTGGTACCAAATTAAGCCTTCTGTTTCCATCTAATTATTCCTTTCCCTGGAGAGCTGGCTTTGGGAAAGGCAAACTTGTTCACAAAGGGCAGTAGAACAGCAGCAAAGGAAGTCCCTGCCCCACAGTGCCCAAGGGTGAGCACCGAGAAACACCCCTCCCAGAAACTCAACAGCACCCTCTGTGGTTTGGGCAAGGGAATTGCATGCATGTTGCTTTATCTCCATCCTAAGTTGCTCCTAAATGGACTGTTAATTGTACCAAGTGCTATCTTGTCGGAAGTGAGGACATGGGTTGGCGCCCCCCTCCCCCGGGTGGGGGTTGGGCTGTGATCATGAAATTCATTTCATTCAGTGCTCGTTTGGAGTTGAATTTGAATCCCTGAAGTAAAGGGTGGAATTAGTTTTCAAAAAAGCAAGAGTAACAAAAGAGGTCATTATGGCTCACAGAGGATTATACATGTAAGTAGTGAATGTACTTCTTTAATTTTCAGAAAATATAGAACATCTTGAAGTGAGTCAGTCATCATGTAGCCGTATAATGTTTAAGAAATAGACATTAAAGGAGTAGACAGCAGTGTCTTTGGCCCAATTCAAACGCCCCGTGTCCCTCCCAGGAATTGTGTTAGCATCTCCCGATGACTTAAACGTACCCTTACAGGGAAAGCGGGGCAGCACCAGCCCCGTATGATTGGTGATCACATAAACCGGTCAAATGACGAAAGGGCATGACATTAATAGGAAGGTAAAGCCAAGCCGAGCTGGGTGAACTTTCACCTTTCACCCCTCGGCTGACTGACAGAGCCGAGTGTTGAAGAAAATCAATACTTTGGAGCCAGGAGGGAGATATTTCCAACCTCTAACTAGAGAATGTATTTTGACAAGGCCAAGATAATCCAAGCTGCACAGGAGAAAGAGAAAAGAAGACTCATTTTTAAAGCCTGACACTTCAAGGTGTTTTTGTCCAGTTGGTTTAGAGACTGTCAATACATACAAATACCAAAGGTCAAGAAGAAAAGCCAGAAGAATTTCAAAAATTAGATGTTCAGTTCTTTCTGCTGTTTACAAAGTAAAAAGACCGCAGGGAGGCTTGTGCTGGTAATTGTCGCTTAAAGGCGCCGAGCTCACGACCTAAAATTTCATAGAGGCAGCACTGTGAGGGGTGGAGCTGCAAAGGCAGTTAGGCTGCTTGTTCCTGTGCACTTTTTTCTTGGTTGCATCATTTTGTGCTAACATCTCAGAATCTTGCTTTTTGATTCTTGTTGGCAAATCTTAGACCCTCCACATTTGATTCAGTCCTTTGCATGAGAAGGTTCATGTATCCTCAGAACTTGAATTGTTTCTAGTTTTCCAAGTCCCTTTAAACAAATCACTTATGAAAGCACCCTCCTTGGTGCTTCTCTGAGTGAGAGGCCTGTGCCTCTCTAGGGAACAGGTAAGCGATTCACTTCACTCTCGCCAGCAAGATCGCACCCATTCATCCTGTCGAGTCACCTCCGTCAAAGGGATACAGATTCTTTCCTTTTCTACAGATAAGAAGACAGTCGAGTGGTGCCCACACCGTCCAGCCAAGCTCAGAAGGACAAAGGAGTCCTGAGTGGGCAGAGTAGCTAAAGGAACCTCTGTTGCCCTAGCCAGTTTGGCTAAGTGGTTAGAGCATCAACCCGTAGGCTGAGGGTCCCGGGTTCGATTGCAGCCAACAGCACATACCTTGGTTGCAGGCTCTGGCCCCTGGGCTGCATACAGGAGGCAACCAATCTTTCACATCGATGTCTCTTTCACATCGATGTTTCTCTCTCTCTCTCTCTGTCTCTCTCTCCCTTCAACTCTCTCTGAAAAGCAATGGAAAAAATGTTCTCCGATGAGAATTAAAAAAATAATAGTAATAAAGGAACCTATGTTTTCTCCTGGACTTGCATCATCAGGCTTACTGTGAACATATGCTAGTCATATGATGATTAAAATAACAGTGAAAATACAGTCTTCATTTGTATACCCTCTTTCTCATGAGAAAATTCCCCTCTACTGTATTCTGAGAAGACAGATCTGGCTGGAGAGTTTTAGTTTTAGTTTTTGCAAATGGAAAACACAGCCAGCCAAGAATCCTCAATATTCTGCAATTTCGCAGAGAAGGCCAGAAGTGCCGCGCATCAGTGAGGTTGTGCCTGTAAAAGGCTGGCAAGAGTGGTACATAGTAAGCAAATAAATGTGACCTAATAGTTTCCGTAGACATTTAGGCACCCTCATTGAGCACAGATAAACGAGCATAAATTACCTGTGTTCTTTGGGAAACGTTGTTGGATTATTGCATTGTTGTGCTTTTATGTAGACTCCAATATAGGTCTGGACATCTTACCCAAAGGGGAGTCTCTGGTTCCACCTGAATTCACCAGCTCCTCACTACGTCATTATGTGTTGTCTTCTCACCCAAATTTGTAGACACTGAGGAAATTCCAAAAGACAAGCCAGCGCATGAGACTGGCTGACTGTGATTGTTGAAGTTGTGAGTGGTTGCTCAGAAAGAAAATGGTTCACCATATCTAATTTAGGAATTAGCATCAGGGACATCTTTGACTTACTATATGAGTATCTTCTAAAGATACGTCTATTGAAATTGAACAAGACTCTGGTAAAGTCTTAGAGAGTAGGTTTCATCAAATCACCAAAGCAAAGGAAACTACTTTCTGTTACCAGTATCTTCTTGTTTTGACCAGTATCAAAATGACTCAGCACTTTGGTTTACTCAAATGTGAAATGTGTTGTCTAAAACTTGCCCACCCCCCATGGCACTTTAAAGTTTAGTTAAAATTTATGAATAATTTAAAGATGCTACAGTGAAACATTATTTTTATTCAGTCTGCAAGCATTTATTGACTCTCAGCATGTGCCAAGCATATGTTCTATATACTATTTCTCTTTTGCTGATGAGGTCACAATCTGGCCAAGGACTATAACACTGTGTAACAAGTGCTCAAAACAGAGATGGGCGAAGAGAACATAAAGTGATTAATTCTGGTAGGGTAGTGTCAAGTTAGGCTTCCCAAGAGGAAGCATTTTGGCTGGGCCTTGAAGAATAAGTAGAAATTAATTAGGAGCCTGGAAGAGATGTTATATGGTAGGAATTTGGAGAGTCCAAATTATTATGTAATCTGAATGGAGATAAACTACTTTAAACCTCCAGCCTGAGGGACATTGGTGGACACGACTGACAGGCAGCTCTCACTTGAAGCTCTTAGTACAACCACAGCAAGCAAGATTTCCGACATTTGAGATCTGGAAGGAAAAAACCCTAAAAAAAAAAAAATTAAAGTAAAAAACGTAATAAAAGATTTATCTGGCTTTTACTAGTTTTCCAGATTTCATTTTCTTCTTTTTAAAGTTATTTTTGCTTTAAAAATAAGGTATGCACCCTCCATATCCTGTATTCTGATGTGTGAACAACATGATGTGTTGGGTGCCTACCACGAGCACTGCCCAGATTTCCGCTCCCACCCCAGGACTGAAGCATTTATTCCCCCAGCTGCGGGGAGACTGGCATCTAATAGCTCTTCCAAGTCCTTCCCTGGAGGTTGCTTCACAGCCAGAGAGCTGTCTGACCCAAGGTCATTCTCCCTGTCCTGTGGGTAACCACATTCAATGATGCGTCAGGGAGGAGGTACAAAGGCCCAGCCCCCTCGCTCCGTTTCAGAGCACCCGTGAAGGCCCCCCCCAGCCCTAGCACCCCCTTGGGGTTGGCTGAAGCCTTCATTGACGTGCATCACAGTCTGCCCAGCCCTGCTTCCTTCACTCCCCTACAGTGTTGATCCTGAGAACACTTCCATAAGCTTCCTGTACGCAGATCTCTGACTCTTAGTCTGCATTCCCCAGAACCCAGCCTGTGACAGCTGGTACCAGGAGTGATCCAAGAGGACAGGATCTAAGGTGGGATTTGGGACCTGGGTCACCCACCAAGGCCCTGGCAGTGAGGATCCTGTCACTGGTGGTAGGTGACCATAGGTAGCCTCTGGCAGGCTGGGGCCGTGCATTGTGAACTTCCAGTGGTGTTAGATATTTGATGGTGAGTTCCGGTGGCATACTGATAGAAGGGGATGCACTGGGAGGTGCAGTGTGGCAGGTGTTTGAGGAGTAAAGGAAAATAGAAATTACAAGACAGTGGATTTGGATGGCTGTTGCTGGGCACACTGGGAAAAAGACAATGAAAACTGAGGAGGATTAATCACCAATTAAAGGCTGAATGTGAAGGCCAGAAAGTCCTTGGTAGCATCTAAGGAGAACCTCATCTTTGCAGGGAACATGAGCTGTGGGTCAGGCCCAGGACTTGTTTTGTGAAGGGAGCTCCAGGAGAGGCTGAACTCAGCCTCCAAAGGTCCACTACCCCAAGGTCAGAGCCCTGATTGAGGTGGATGGGGCTATCAAGGCTGATGCACTTGAACAGTCTTGAATGCCCAGATTCTGGTGACTCTCCCCGTCAGGCCTACAGGGCCCACTCCTTTGCTTGAGGACGATTCAGAGGCTTCTCCCTTGCTCCCCACGCTGCTCCCCCACCTCCTCTCACAGCCATTAGACCACTTTGCTAGGGTTAAGTCACAATAGAGTTCGGCTGTGGAAACCCTAGGCCTGCTGAGAACTAGATCCCAAAGGAGGTGCAAGACCCAGCTGACATGGACCTGCAGGAACTAGAATTATGGGACTAAATTCTGGGGGGTATTGGGTCAAGGGGAGACAATATAAATGAGACAAAGGAGCTTATTAATATGGGATTTAACACACTAGCAAGGAACTAGGGACAAGGTACTGTGCAGCTTGGAGAAGACAATGGCTGATGTGAAGCCAGATCTGCCACCGCAGATGGTAGAAGAAAGAACCAAAAAGCCCAGCGTGGTGGGACTGCAGAGTAAGGCCAGAAACTCAACAGATGACTGCTCTGTGACAGAGGCCAGAGGATGTTCTGTTTCCAA